AGCTGCCGAATTTGATTTTTCGAAGAATGTGAAATCGCTGAAACTGAAAGGAGAGTATGTTTCAAGTAACACTTTGTTGTGAGATTTCTGTTTAACAATTTTCAATTTTTTTTAATTTTTTATGTGTCACCTTCCCGCATTTTTGGTTTATTATTTGTTTCTTTTTCTGATCTTACATTTCAGTCTTCGGAGCGGTTGATGCGGCAAGGATCCATGTCTTTATTCACATTTATATTACAACTATGAGGTTTTTTTATATAAACTTATATACATACATCAATACATACGTACAAACATATATGTCTATCTTCATCCAGAGACACAACTGACTTTTAATCAATCATATATATTTTTATAGTAACTTCACTAGATGGTCAAGGTTAATTAATTGTTTCATGACAATTTTATATTTGTTGAATGAAAGTTTTTTTCAGTATATTGCAGTATATTGTAAAATTTAGGCCCGAAATGAAAAATTGTTCGTTGTGTATGTGTTTTTCGAAAATGGGAATCATCACATTTGAATCTTCGATAGATCTAGTATTTTTTATCTTTTCGCTATAGTAAAGATGTTTATTATTATACATCCATATAAGACAGTGAAAAATATAAATATCTCATATGTTATACAACTTGGTTTCTTTTTATGTGTTTCACTTTACCAACATACTTCTTCAGGCTTGATATATTGACAAAATTCTACCTAATTAGTGTTTTATATAATATAAAAATTCAAATCATATGATATTCTACTCAATGACTATTGATTATACCAGAGTTTATGTATGAACTAATCGAAAATTCAAACATTATAGAATAAATTTCACCCCCTCACCTAATAAACAAATTACCAATTTTCTCGTCAGAAGACAAATTCAAAGATTATGGTCAGAGATTATGGTCAAAATTAACGATTAATGATTATTGTGATGTGGGTAAAAAGTGAAGCATTAAGTAAAATATTAAACTGTCTTAGAGTTTAGGTATGAAAATACAAAGAAATTGGTCACAGGGAGTTCTAAAATTATCCAAAAAAAATATTATGAACATTTTTTCAGCTAAATTTGGAAAGACTAATGTAAAAAAATTGATTCACCTATACAATCAAATTGAAAACCTGTCTTTGAGAGAGAATTTTGTAATGATATATCATATCAGCATTTGATGGGGGGGTCTCATGTGGTGGGTTGTATATATGTACATGACCAGATAAAGGCACTTCTCAACTGAGTGAATTTAATAATGCCGAACTAATGAGCAGAAACGTGTCATGAGGTATTCAACAGTTACCAAATGTAATGGGTCGAGTTTTAGAGAAATTGAAAAAACTTAGATGTGTTTTGTAGATAGTGATTGGGCGAAAGATACATCGGATGTATTGAAACATCAACCTGTTTTTTATTTCCTGCTGGATCTCTTGTATCTTCAAAGGACCAAACAGACCCATTGAAAGTTTGGTGACGATATCTTGTTCACGTTTTTGTTTCGATTCCCTAAAGTACAAGCATTTTTGATTTATGAACTCTCAAACTAGCAAAATATTCACTGTGACTATTTTTCCGATTTGAAGGACGTAGAATTTTGGAATTTCTTCCTGTCGTTTCGCTGGCGCGAATGGCTAGCTTCCTCAGAGGTTTATACATTCTGAGTTGATACCTCCGATGACTGGATATTAAGGCCGCAACGCGTATTTATGTTGACTCCCCAGGTAGTTTGGTGTGCTAATACCAAAACCATTCTCAGGTAAATCACGTAAAGCATGTTAATGTTAATTAAGGTGATCTGGTGTGATAATACCTGTACCTGGATTTGGTAAATCAATTACGTTCGGTGATCCTTTTCTACCTGGCGTCATGCTGTTTGCTATTCTTGAACTTCTCAGAATGAGATTTCATATTCGATTGAGGTTCACAGCTTTTTCTTTTCTGTTGAAATTATTCGTGTGATTGTGAATTTCTATTGTCTTCCGTACCAGTCGGCTATGGATTTCCAGGTCGGGGGCAATGAGTTCCGTATTTCCGAACAGAATACTGTGGTTTCCTTTACCGAATGCGTGTTCTACCACAGCTGACTTGTCTGTTTGGCCTAGTCTGATGCAGGCTTCCCACAAGTTCACGGTATGCGATAAAACCCTTCTGCTGAGGCTTTGTTGAATCTTCTTGATGGGATTGAAAACCGTTTTGATGTTGTGTTTCCCAAGAATATTTCAAAAATTCTGTCTGTGACATAAGATAGATATGTGCGTGCAACCATCTGGGCCTAATATTGCACGCAATTTTCTCCAATCCATTGTCGGCATTCAAGAAAATATCTGGGTGGAGTACTCGGTGTAGCTCAGTCCAGCTAAGTGTACTTTCTTATTGCCTCGTGTTCGAGGTAGGCAATAATAATAACTCCCCGACCCACCTATAGTGCACCATGTCTTTTCACAGTCCGTCAGCCATGTAACGATGAAGAATCATCCCAACTTCAACTAGATAAATTCTCTCGAAAAAAATTCCTGGTCACTACGCCAATTCACCGCTCTGTATCTAGTTTATGCTATATTTGATTCGATCATTTGCTTTTGACTTGGTATATTTTCGTCTAATTTCGTGGTGTTTGAGGCATCATTTTACCTAATGATCATTTTTCTAGGGGTGGTATCACTCAGATAATTTCTTCAGAATTTTCACGCGTAGAATGTACAGATATGTCATGATTCCATTATCTTCCCAAATCGCGAGTTTTCCACAATCCACACACCTGGGCTACGTACATAAACCTTCTCAGAGTATCATGATTCTACTCCAAATCATTCATGAACTTATTGAAGTGTACTGGGAATATTACTAAGCAACGTGTTTCTCAATTAATTGATCATATTCTGCTCCAATCTGCATATTCAATCGGAATAAGCTTTGGTTCGCAACCCTGCAACATATGTCACTGAATATGTAAAAATGACGTGTCTTGAATGGTATCTTCCTTTTTTCCAGAATGCTAAAACCTATAATATCTGACACCAAAATAATGTCAGGCCCCTTCATTTTTCCGGTCTCCTGTAAACAGATGGTCATATTTTCTCAATTGATACCTAGGTACCGCTTAACCTTGCTGAGGAAATCTCAGATAGGTTGTAAGTATTCTTCAAATTTCAAGATTAGAACTTTCAGTCAAATAAAAATCTGGAGAATGACTCAACTATATATCATCTACCATTTTACCAGTTCAACTAGTAAATAAACGCGATTTCCACTTTAACATCTATGTTACCTTCCTGCAAATAATAAAATTATGTTAGTTTCAGAGGCGAATAATGAATATATTGAAAATACTCGTCCCACACCACTAGTGTGGAAAAAGTGCTTTCAAAAGATTAATTTTACGCCAGGTGTTTTAAAGTCTACTTATCGAGGTGGGTAATAAATGTATCCAACCTATGTTTACATTAATCGTTATAAATGAGCAGACCTGGTTCCACAATCGCATCACGGATTCACGGAGTTCTCTTGAATAAATCGAACTATATTTTTTATTCAATTATTTGACTCAAGAAGTATTTACTACTTGGTGGCAAGTTAGTTACGACTCATTATGTTATTTATTTGGATGAAAGTTTCAGTTCATGGCTCTAGATTTATTATTTCGATTAACTCTGGATTTTTCTTTGGCAACATGTTTCACTACACTTCACTTTTACTTTCCTTTTGAAGATATTTTTGATAACATTTCGAATGATGAGACTCAAATAGAATCGCGTTGAGACTGATAATCGAAATCCTTTTGTTGAATCTAAATTCTAAATATATAGAAAGTCTCTGATCTTGTTTTTATGTCTCATACTATAGAAAGCTCCAATTCAAATCATCATGTTTTTCTGGTCGAAGTGATAGTTTAGCTTGATTAGTATTCTTGATAAGCGTAGTTTATTTTGAATAAATTAAAAGATAAAACTTTGTTCGGTATTTATTTCCATTATACAGCTAACAATAACTGAAATTATTTATTATCATGGTAGTTGTTCTAGCAATTATTTTTTGTGCTTGTTTTTTTCCGATTTTGAATTGATCGTTTTGTTTTCAATGACAACATTTCTCGATGTCATGACAAAATGCACGTAGGCCGTTCAATGAATTTCAGTCATTCTAACAAATAATAACCAAATAATATTACTCTCTCGAGAAGTACATTTAAAATGAGTACCAATATCAGCTTATTGCACCTTTCGAAATGAAAATAGGTTATGATTTCCTTTCAGAAAATGAATTAATATGTTCCTTGAAATCCAGATGATTTCTATGATACTACTTTCAGCAAAATTGGACGATCGAAAGCGTAAACCACAAGGGAAATGTTTTGGATCGATTCAAAATCTCATAAGCAAAATAAATCTGAACTTATGATTTGTTCCGCTCTATAATGCATTTTTCCATACCAGAAGTGCTTATTTTAATCGATGTCTTGAAAGTTGACGATCTGATATTCTTAGAATTGCACAATATAACAATTTCAAGTTTTCACATAACAACAAAACATGTGTAATTTCTTAGCAAAGCATCATCCAAAATAAATTCTGAAATATTGAATTATTCCATTCAATCATTATACATTTTTTGTTTACTAGTATTTCATTAATACGGTGTATTCTGACGACAAACAAAATAACGCAACATTTTATCATCATTTACTTTGCAATAAGTTTGCTAAATCCCGACCTTGGGCTCTTATATTATCGAGTAACTATTTCTCACACTCACCATGAAGAAATCACGAACTACTCCGCCAAAACTCATAGGAACGCTGAAAAACTTGTCTTGTACCAGAACTTTCAGAATTTGAGTTGTCAATATGGAAAGTATATTACTGACTGACTCACCTCAAAAGTTGTGGGCCTACTCTAAGTACCACTATACCTACTCTGCTGGCCTTTCATATTTTTCTTGTACGTTTTGAGCCCTAGACAAATATTATAAATGTTAGCAATCCTTCTACAATTGATATATCGACCACTCTTTCATTCTGACACAAAAAAAAATTTCAGGGTAAAAATTGGTGCTCCGAAAACAAAAATCATGAAAAGAGGAAGGCGAATTGAATCTGGTGTGGTCTACAATTGCCCAATTTCGAAAAAATGCACAGCCATCAGTTTACCAAACCGTAAGTATTTTATTTTCATACTAGCGAATATAGCGAATCACCCTAGCATAGGTAGCAAAGAATGTATGCCTACTTTTTTTATGTCATTGTGTCGTATAAGCTTGTTAATACTATTAATGACCTTTGATGAAATTCATTCAAACGAAAGTATATCCACATCTACCAATTTCAATTTCAGAATGGGTAAGTGCCTATCTAGCTGAAGACAACACGGAACTAAAATGTGACGTTAACCTTCAAACAATACTAACCCAATTGCAACCTTTTCTCATCACGCGTGTCGCATCGGTGTGTGTGTGTGTGTGTGTGCATCAATCAATTTTAGCCACGCGATAAGTTTAATTTTGCGATAACTTCTAAGATATTGATTAGAACTAGATGTTGCCTGCGCCTTCGTTCGCGTTGAATTCAGCTTTTAGTTTACCCGTATTTTCATTTCACAAACTATGACCGAAGTTTTATCCAAATAAATTTTTTCCAAAAAACTTCAGTAAAACCGCTCCTAAAACCACCAATGATAAGTTTTTTCATATCAGTCATACACACATATTATATGTATTGATAAATTAAAATCAAATTAAAAGATTCCAAGCCAAGATACGTCACGACGTTTCAATTGTTAGTATCCACAATCGTCTTCGGGTGATAACTGGACTTATTCCTCCGAGATTTGATTAATTATAGGCCATTCGAGTGCTTTCACCTATCCCCTCTTCCCTCTCACCGCTTCAGTGGTTTTAGCGGGAGATGACCGTTTGGAGGGAGTTGGTCTTTTTTAGCTTGATTAGAGGTTTTCATATGTTACGTATCTCTACGCTAGCTTGATTAAATGCGTTGTTGGACAACATATACGCGGCTTTTTTGAATTTTCTCCTGAACCAGTGTTCCTCTTTGTGGATGATTTCAGCTTGAGCCCACTTAATGTTATGTTGATGAGTCCAAACATGCTCTGCTATTCCGGATTTGCTGGTTTCTCTTCGCTGTGTGTGTTTCTTGTATACATATAAACGCGCGCCCGCACGTCATCTTGATTTCTTTCAGGTTGGAGCCTTGCTCCCCTACCCTTCAAAATGCTTTTCGTCAGAGAGACGAATGGGTCATAACTGATCAGTGATGGCGGCATGAATGTCCTCAGACATCAGTATCGCCCTTCGCGGTGTACCCCTACCTGGCTGGGGTGGATGAAAGATCATCTTCAAAGAGGAAGTGATCGAAACACGTGTCGCGGTATTGAAAATAACGATTTGGTGATGGGAAAAAACTCCAGTAATATTCATTACTACACCAAAGGTTCCAAACAGTGTATCATAAGTGGATGGATGAAGATATTATTCATCTGTTAACGGAGGACATAGGGGCCTCATTCGACAAAGTGTCGAGGCCTTCTATATCGGGAGGGGTCGTCTTCAGCGTAATCTATAGCTTTCTGACTAACGTGTTATCGTGAGTTTCCGCTCAATCTAAAACTCGCCGATTCCTCGACTGGATGGACTGCTGAATGGAGGGCAGCTGTAAATCTCTGCGGATGGCTTCATTTCGCACGAACCACGGAGCATTCACAATCATCCGTAGTATTTTGTTTAGTAAAGTCTCTAAGATGGAGATGTTGGACGGAACCGCTTGTCCCCAGACGCCTGAAGCATACATGATGACAGGCTTGAACATCGTGTTGTAGATCGTAACTTTGTTTTTAAGGCTTAACTTTGATCATATGTTTATCAGACCCTCGATATTTGCCTTCACGCTTATAAAGTGCGGGTTTCAAGTTGGTCCACGATCTATTAGAAGACCGAGGTACTTTACCCGCGCTTGCCAATCGATCTCCCTTCCAGAGATTTTCACTTTCATAGCCGGAGAAGATTTCGTTCTACCCATGGTTATTGCCTGAGTCTTTTCCGAATTCACTCGGATCTTCCACTCGAGGTACCAGCGCTCGAGGTCGTCCAAAGCACGTTGCATGTAGACGACATCGAGCTCCCGACCCATGGAAGATGAGAGGAGAGTCGTGTCGTCGGCGTAGAGGGATATCTTCATATGCTCGGACCTCGGAAGGTCGCTGGTGTAAAGAGAATACAGCGTGGGAGAGAGCACGGCCGACTGTGGTACTCCAGCGAGGATCTCTCTGTCTAACGACAGAGAGCCCGCTACTCTAACCTGAAATGTTCTGTATTTCAGGAAAGATCCAATCCACCGGATCCGGCCTCGAGGCAGGTCGAACGCAATTAGTTTGTACAGAAGGCCTTCGTGCCAAACACGGTCGAAGGCCTTCGAAATGTCAATAAGACTATAAACACGCGGGGTCGTCGACGCGCTATTTATAGCCAGGCGCTGCCGCTCCCCGGCTGCTACCACCATAACCGTTATGTCCCTGCATTTCAAATCTGTAATATCTTCGAAAATATTCATTGAAAAAATCTGCTGTAAAGGGCCATATTAATCTATATTGAATGCATAATGTATTTAAGGTACTCAATTAGATAAGGATTGCTGCTGTATTGCTTAAAATCGCTTCGTAAATGAGCTGTTATTTCTCGAGGATATAAAATGGTCGTTCAAGGTTATCCCCAAAAGATAGACATATACCATCCCAGACTTTTTAGTAGATCTTTTTGAAGTGTACAATACTGTAGTAACTTTTTGATCTATCTCGTAGGGTTCAGCCAGCGATTGCAATGTAAGCACAAAAAAGTGTGCATCACATTAGAAACCTCCGAAATTATCAGTGTTTCTCTGCTATAGTATGCATGTTTAATACATATGAATATTCCTCTTGAAACACTTTATCTATTCAAACCCCCGCCCCGCATCAGAATCCGTTGCGTAGTTTTAAAGATCTAAGCATATATAGGAACAGACTACAGGAAGCAACTTTGTTTTATACTATGTAGTGATTCGTTTTGAACATCCTACTGTTACAACAGATAAAGTGAAGCTATATATCAAAATATTTTTCGCTTGTTTGAATTTGATTGTTGATAATACCACATACTTACAAAAAATTTTTTTCTACAATAAAATTATGTTCTACTGCTGTGTGGAAATAAACAGGTAATGCTAAAGCAGTGAATGAAGTGTTTGTTGGAAAAAATCATCTCACAGTTTTGGAGTTGAATAAGTTGAACATAGTTTGGCCGTTACTTGATGAAGATCCTTAGTAATTTCATAAATTACACCTTACGATTTGATCTCCACAAACTTCATTTGAAAAATATATCACATGTTTCGCTAACACAGTAGTTTCTTCAAGAGTATTTTTGACGAAGCTATACTGTGTTAGCGAAACATGTGATATATTTCTCAAATAAAGTTTGTGGAGATCACATCGTAAGGTGTAGTTTATGAAATTTGAGGGAATAGTCCATGTTGAAAACGAAACCTATATCATACCTTACTTGATTTTTCATATTCAATTCGGAACGTGTGAATTTCTTCAAAACTCTTCAATAATATCCCAATGAGCGAAACATTTCAATAGATAATAAAGTACAAACTACAGTTAAAGAAAAAACACTTCATTTATGATCAACCAAATATTCAAATATATTTTATTATAGATGTTCCTCGCAACTTCAATGGCGTTATGAAAGTTCTCATACATTTGCTTTCCTTTGATTTATAAGAAAATTGTAACTATAAATCTAATTAACCAAAATTTCACCTAAACCAACCGAACAGTATATGTTTATGCTATTGTTTCCATTTATGAAACGGTTCGAATAACTCAAACAGAAAATATCAAATGAAGATTACTACAACACATTAGTGAAAACTGCACCCAAATCGGTTGAACCGTTTTCGAAATAAGCGCGCACAAACGATCAGTCAAACAGTTATACATTGATTATATGTGATGAATTCATCAGATTGATAGTCTGGTGTTTTTCAAACATTGAAATGGCTATAACATGTTATCCATAAAAAATAGACATATGTCATCGCGGACATATCTATGCATCTCAAAGAAGAACAATACTAATGATTCAGTTATATCCCAGAAGGATTGAGCGTTTTCAATGAAAGCTCCGCGGCTTCACACGGGTAGCACAGCCGCACAAAAAATGAATACCAAACATAAATCTTCTTCTTGTATCACTTCGTTCATTGATAGTAACCGTACTGGTAGTTGAATAGACAGACGTGGTAGGGAGAAGTTATTTTATAATATATAGTAATATTGAAGGCGTTTCAAGAAATTGAACTACTTACTGCAGGGCAGGGGTGATCTATATACTGAGGCAAGAGCATGACTAAGTCAAGATAACTTTAAAGCGACGAGAATATATGGAAACTAATTGATACAGTTATTGTATGATTTTCAATATAAACGGTTTTACAAAAACGCTTTTTACAAAAAAGGAAATATTAGACTTACTTACGGTTTGTTTGTTACAGAATTACTTCCAATTCAATGAAACTTGTTATGCATCCTGCAAACTAATAAAAAAAAGAATTAGAAATGAATAGCTGAAAATAACAATTATATCAAGCTAAAAAACACGAAATGAAATAATAGTGAAATGAAATACAAGTAAAATCATTGTGTCGTTTGAAAAAAACCATTTCATACCCATCTGGGCTTTCTTCAATGATGTTTGTAACATAGTGTCAAAAAGTTGACATTGTTTTTCCATATATAATAACAATACAACAATCACCTACTTTGGGTTCATTTTCTTCTTCAAGTCCGTTGAAATCTTCAAGAGAATCTGATAATTCGTAAAATTCTATGATTTCCTCATCAGATGATGAACTAGATTCCAAGACTTTTTTCTCGATGTTGTTTGGTTTTATCGTAGCTGAGGCACGTTTTTTCTTTTTGTCTTCGCGAATTCGCGCTTCCTCTTCCAGTTCTTTTTTAACGGGAGTATCAGTTAAAATCATTGATCGTCTTTTTTTGCGTGCGGATATGTTTGTTTTCCGTGGTGCAGCTTTGGGAAAAGGGCGTATTTCTTCGGAGGTAATACATTTTGATGGTCCAGCCTCGCAGTTTTGAAGCAAAT